CTCTCTCTCTCTCTCTCTCTCTCTCTCTCTTTTTTTTTTTGTTGGCCCCTCTGAGCTCCCATCTAAAATGAGTAACAGCTTGTCAACTTTTCACAGGGTCTTCATTGTGACGATCAGTCGGACCATTTGGCACGCGTCAGCCTGATAATCAATAACAATTAAAATTGTGCCGGCGTTCTGTGCGCCTGAGCTCTTTTGCTCATTGTGATGCTGGGTGTCGGTGCTGGTGAGCGTGTGGCCCGAGGCGGAGGGCAGTTCGCAGCCAGGCGGCACTTCTGCCCCTCGCTCCTGTTGTATTTTCCTCAGATTTGTTCCCCACTGCTTTCCGTTTTGTTCACCTGCAGCGGCGTGCGCGAGGTTCCCTTTTCTCTCGTGCGCCCGTGTGTGTTTGCGCGCGCGCGGCCGTGCTCGCGTTTAATCCGTGTTTATCCTCACCCCACCCTCGTCGCTGCGGAGATTATCCTGCGTCACAGTGCTTTTTTTTTTTTTTCAGAGCTGATCGGAGCTCTGCGCTTCGGAGAGCCTGCTGGCAGCGCTCCAAGGACAAAGAGCGAGAGGGCGCGCGCAGTTAGACCTACATTCCCCGGTCTGCCGTTATTCTAACGAGCTTTAAAACAGGACACGGCAAAACGCTGCTCGTTTGCTGCTTATTTCACTCCGCTTATGCATTCCACTTGGCGACCAGATCCGCCAGTATAAAGATAAATAAGGCTCTAAATTGTGGATCGCATGCATGAGCTGTAAGCGCGCGCGCGCGGGCGCTGTGCAGGGGACACACAAAGGGCCTCAGCCATGCAGGAGGAGATGATAAGCGGAGCCCGGTGTTTGTTTTTGTTTCCACACCGCGGGTCACTGAGAGTTCAAGGCGCTGTCACCAGAAGGAAGAGACAAAGAAAAATAAGCATTGTGTTTTTGCCTTCCTTTCCTTCTTTCTTTTAATCTGTCAGTTTTGAACTTATCGTCTTCAACGAGAATCGGCGCAGAAATCCGAACCTAATTACGTCCATAAAGGCTGCTGAATGCTGCAGACCCCCCCTGTTACTTCCCTCAAACCGCCTCTTCCTCCTCCTCCTCCCGCTGTTGCTGCATGCTGCTGCCGGCCGCGCAGTGACGGATTGGTTGGCCCTCGGGAGTTGTTTGTTGCCCCAAACTATTCTTAGCTGCAGGGATGGGCGTCGACGCGCTCCCGTTTCCTCCCTCCTCATCCCCCCCCACCCACACCCCTTCATCTCAGGTCGCTCCTTCCTCCCCCGTCCGCTCCACTCGCGGCGCGGTATTATGTTCGGATTTGGACCCAGAAAAATCCTCAGCCACCAGACTCGCTGGCTTCTAACTGCAGGCCCGTTTGATATTTGACACCCTCTGCAGGCCCGCAGCTCCGTCTCCTTCGCAGCCTTTGCAGGCTCCACATTATTGACGCGAATGTTTGCGGGTCAAGATTTCCCTACAAAAACCCCGCGTTGCTCAAATGATCGACAAAATAAGTTGGACGCTTTAAATAAAAAATGGCTTGCGTTTAAGCTTGGTGATAAATTTAAAGAAAAAAGAAAAAACAACAGCACTTGTATTGCGCATGCTGTTAAATTTGTTCTTCACTCAAAGTTTGGGTTAAATAGGACATTATTTTAGATCACTTCATTTGTCTTTGTAGTTAATCATAGTTAATCATATGACGATTACATTTTTTTAGCTCAGAAATGTCGCCACGACTCCAATAAATAACAGGCGCCAATAAGAGGACCAGTTATTTCAGTTTGATGAGGGCAATAAGAGTCATCTGGCAGGTTTAATTACATTGAGTAATGCACCAGGCTATTTTTTTACGGGAATTTATGTCAAGAGTTCGAGGAAATACTTAGATGAAATGAATATTTATTACAAATTATACGGTTCAAGTTTGTTTACAGGTAAAAAAAAAAAAAAAACATAATAATTTGCATAATAAAAGTAGGAAATGACGAAACAGCAAAGTGTCAGTTCGGGTACTGAAAGTGTGGGGCAACTACTAAATGGTGGCGTTCCCTTCACAACGGGAACGGCACTGTAGCACCACGGGCCGTTTTCTAGCTGCCTTGGCGAAGGATTACGATGGAGCTTATGACTCCAATAAATAACACAGGAAGTCAGGAAGTCGCTTATTTTGGTTTGATCAGGCGATCCAGTCTGCCATATTCCATAAATGCCCCAAATCGAGATCAAAATCAACATGAAAGAGAGCGGGATACTGTGAAATTTAAAATATGTGATGAATTAGCATCTTTCTAACTTAAAATCAATGCGACTTGTAGCGGGGTGGGGGGGGGAGGAGTAAACACTGAGAAGGACAAACCAATATGCAAAGGTTACACGACAACGCAGTTTATTTTCAGGCTTGGCACGGTGAAAGGAACGAACCGACCCAAAGCCTTCATGCCTGCAGCTTTCCATTTCCAAACCATATAAATTTGCACATTATAGATGTTACATCATCATCTGTCAAAGCGGGACACGTCGCTGCAGAGAAAGTCACGGTCGGAAATGGAACAGATGACACCAGAAAGTTTCCCCCTCCCCTTCTGATTAATATTTGTATTCTTCTGTGCTTTTGATTATTGTTATTGTTTGTTGTTGTTGTTGTTGTTGTTGTTTTTTAACCACAACTTCGCTAAATCGAAAGAAGGAACAAAAATAAGCGAATGGCTGAAGGTTCAGTTTAGATTTTGATTGATTCATGGTGCTCTGCGCAGACTTGTCAGCGCATGAGGAGCCGCTGCCTGCCAGACTCAGACACAGAGAGAAAGTGTGTGCATGTGACGCTTCACGCACGCAGCACAGGAAACGGGAGAGAGAGAGAGAGAGAGAGAGAGAGAGAGAGAGAGAGAGAGAGAGAAGAGAGAGAGAGAGAGAGAGAGAGAGAGAGGGAGGGAGAGAAAGAGAGAAAGAGCGAGAGAGCGAGGTGATTTCTCAACAGCGTCTGCGCTTTCGGAACGGAGCCGAAACGCACACGTGGCCCCGCGCACACGTTCATCCCGCGCCAGAAAAACTCACGCACGCACGACCGCGCGCGCACAGCTCCGTTTCGGTTCCGTCAGATGCGGATGTTGTTGAAGCAGAACGGACCGACCAGAGCTGCTGGGTGAGGAGAAGGAGGGGGTGGGAATGTAGAAGCGGAGGAGGAGGAGGGCCCCCCTCCCTCTCTCTCTCTCTCTCTCTCTCTCTCTCTCTCTCTCTCTCTCTCTCTCTCTCTCTCTCTCTCGGCAGGCTGATTAATGTGCTCCGGGTCACCGCAATAAAAAAAAGTGGTGTGCCAGCGGCGCGGCAGCGAGGCGTTTCACCGCGATGATCGAGGAGCCGAGCTTCTCTGCTGCTCTCAGCTCCGGAGAGCTCCGCGGAAGGCTCACTCTTTCTATTTAAAGCAATTGCTGCCTCTCGCTTTGCTCCCGTGGAGGCTCTTCCAACCGGACTGCCGTGCAGAAATACCCACAAACTGAAGGTAGCGTTCAGACGCTGAGCTCAGGGGGAGCTGCACTTTCCAGATCTCCTCGCTGCTGTTTTCCGTGAAGCCTGTAGAAATTTGGCAAACCACCGAGGGTGTGAAGATGTCACTTAAAGGCTCATAACTGTTCAGTAATCCTGCGGTTTTGTCACTTACCAGATTTATGAGTAACTAATTGCTGTCTTTTCCACGGGAATTTCTTCTTTCTGTTTTTTTAAAGTTGGAAGTATGGCTCCCTGCCCAGGGCGGCAAGAGATTTAGCTGCTGAGATGAACCTGAAATCAAACAAATCTATACTTTTCATAATTGCGTCATTTTGGTTCTTTTCAAAGCTACCTTCAACATATTTCCCCAATCTTTTACCGCTTGCAGTTCTTGGCGAAATCTTGGTAGAAATCAGATCTTTCACATCAGAGCCCCAAGTAGGATGGAAGTTAGTGTCCAGTAAAAGCTTGAGTGGTGCATTGCTAAAGTGCACAGATGTTGGAGGCATAACAAGCAAAAGTGGATTGATGTTTGAGTAGAGAACTGCCACTGATCTGTCCCAACCCCCAATCTCCAGTTTGCTCTCCCTCCCATGAAAACGTGTCAACCTTTTATCAACTTACAAGGACACCTTTCAGCAAATGTTTGTCCATCTTACCACATCAAGGCAAATACAGACGAGGAAAAGGGGAATCTTTCCACTGCAGTCTCGTCAGTCTGTGCAAATCTAAACAGTGTGAGTGAAGTCACAGGTTCAGGGAGCCAGTTGTGGAACTTATTTCAGAAATATGTAGGAATATATAATCAATTTTCTCTGGACTTGTTTCAGAACATACAACAATACTCATGAAATTCAAGCTCATACAAACTTCAGGATTCAGGGACATTTATTTGTGCCTTGATGGGTTTCTTTTTTTTTTCTTCTCTTGCATTTTTTCTTTGAACAAAAGTCTTTTCACTTAAATCTTCATCCCGTTTTCTTGCTACGCTGTTTCAGCCGTAGTTTATTCCCTTCTATATGTGGCTTCTTTTCTCCGACATGCTCTCCCCCCGTGCGTGTTCTGGTGCGAGGGTATTGTTGATCTCCGGCTCTGTGTTGGCGGGTGGTAAATGGGCTCCCGCCGAAGTGCTCTGCGATGCATAATCTTCCCTCGCTCTGCTGGCTGAGGCAGCCGAGAGAGCAGGTCAAAGAGGGCACAGAGAAACCGGTGTGTGTGAGGGGACGTGACTGAATAGACGTGGCCCCGCAGGGCTCGGCGAGCAAGCCCCGCTTGGGGGACGGTGGGAGGTGGTGGTGGGGGCGGGCGCTATAAGGATGAAGGGGTGTTGATGGATGGGAGGGGTCAGAGCTATTGTGGCTGTCCGCTTTGCATTTTCACCCCGTCATGTTTCACTGTTTTTGGAATGAAGCTCGAGTACAACACACTGTCTGTCTGAGATTTTACGACATTTAAGTGGCGGTGTCGTGGAACTGCGTCTGCGGTGTGTTCATGTGGCAGAGCCAAGGCGCTGACTGCTAACTGTTTGCTCATCTCCACAGGGCAACATCTGTTCGTGATGTCGATGCTGAGACACAAACTGACCTGGCACTAAGACGAGGAAACGACATCACACAAAATATGGCAAGTTCCTGTGGTTGTCATTTGTCACTTTCAGAACAAAATACATGGTTAAGGTCGGATGGTGTAAGTCTGAACGGACCGCATGTAAAAAAAAAATAAAAAAATAAATAAAATAAATATATAACATATATATATATATGTATTATATATATTATATTTATATTATATATAAATTTGCCTGATTTGTAAAAAGGAAAACCCATAGAAGCAGTCATGCACTTTTTAAAAAAAATTATTTAATGCAAGAATTGTCTTTTTTTTTCCAAATATATAATATTTTAATATATAATATTTTAATCCTTTTTATATTTAAAGTTACTAGCCAGACTCACTAAAGTAAATTAATCAGATTCACATTAAATATAGTAAGTCATTTATAAAACATGTCATAATTAGTTCCTCTATTTATTTTAATATAAAATCTGCCCTCATAAAAGCAAGCACATGTCTCTGTTGATAGTACTAAAGGCATGAAGAGTCTGAACAGAGTTCATTTCCTACATCCCAATTTTTTCTTGTTTTTCCTTTCTTATTTGTGTCTTTAATCACATTATTTCATTCTGAGATGTTTACTGTACAGCTGCAAGAAAACATTTGAGCTTTTTGCATTTAGCATTGCATGGACTTCAACATTTCTAAATTTGTAACCTCAAAAATTTGAGTCCAAGAAATGAAAACTAATTTCTGAAGAGAACAAGAAAATGCCTGGAATGGGACTGAAAGCTTCTGAATCTATGTAGAAGTCTCTCAGAAGTCACTGGTTGCCAGTAGAGCTTCCTGATGCTAGGTGGTGGACTCCATTCTCCTCCCAAATGCAAACAGCAGCATTGCATTAATGCTTTCTAAGAGAGTATTTTAGGAAATCCTTCATTGAAAAGCCATCCTTCATTACAGCTGTGTTTAAGGTGCATTTGCTACTGGAATAAAAACCTTTCACTAATAGCAGCTGCCAGTGATTAAACTCGACTAAATGCATTTTTTTCTTTCTTTCTTTCAGGTGGATGCAAGGTTGACGCCCCTGGCTGCGATGGGGCTTGACCGAAGCACTCTGATACACGACAGCCTCCGTCTCCATGGTGGGGTCGTATACCCAGGGATCAGAACCCTCCCAGCGGAGAAGAGCAGAGAGACACCCACCCTCCCACTCGCCTACAGTAGGGATGGTCTCCCAGAGCTAATTTACAAACCCGACAGCCCTCTGGACAGTCGTAAGCCTGCAAATGGTTACCAGAGCCTCTATAAGGGAACCCACCCAAGCCTTCACAAGCCTGTGCTGGTTACTGGAGCTGAGGGCCTTGGCTTGGAACGGCGAGTAGGGCCCGGAGAAAAAGTGTCAGAGCTGGGGCTGGCTGGAGCGGGTGGCAGCTACCTCCGCATGCCTTTGCTGAGCCCCTACCCGGAAGCAGGCATGTATTCCTTTATGGACACCTCCAAGTATGCTGCTTTGAACATATACAAAGCGTCCCTGCTCACCCAACCTAGCCCCTACCTTCCCCAGCACCTGCCCTACCCACCCCTGTGTGCAGCCCAGGGGGCCAATGTTACATCTGCTGCAGCTGTTTCTGCTGCTGAGAGGCTGTACTATATGCCTCCCTACCCTCCATCTCCCATTTCTTCTCCTCTGGTGGCCCCTCCCATGAGGATTCCTGCGGTCACAGTGACCCCCACTTCGCTGGTACACTGCCAAGACAAAGGACTCGGTGTTACATCTCCATTTTCTCAGCAGCTTCATCAACCCTCTCCTCATCCTCAGCACCATCAGGCAGCCATGGAACGAGACCGTTCTCCGAGCAGGAGCAGCAGACCAAGCAGACCTCCATCCAGGAAGGGCACAACCAACAATAGCACCAGTAGTACCAGCACCAGTGGCACCACTGTCGGGAGTAATAGTCTGCCTGCTGATTCTTCCCACATGTCCTCCCGCCTCCCCCAGCCTCCCTCTCTGCCTGCTCTCCTTGACAAAGCACTGGATTTGCAAAGGCCAGTTGCCAGAATAGGACAACCATCCGCCTCTTCTGCAGCTTCAATAGTTGCATCCTCTGCCGCTACGCAGTCCATTGCTCACCCTTTTTCTATTAGCAGCATGGCATCAGAGCAGGCCTCCTCTGCCAGACCCAGCCCTCACAAACCCAGGTCACGAGATGGGACCTCTGAGAACAGAGGTGCAGGAGTGGAAAAAGTTTGCAGCAGGTCTCCTTCTTTAGTCAATTTTGAGAGGCCAGCTAACCAATCTCAACCAACCAAAGACTCTGCAGAGAAGCCTCTGGATTTGTCAGGAAGAATGATTGAGTATGGGCTGCCTGCCAATGGTTTCTCAGTTAAGATGGACTCTGTGTCATCTGGCACCCGTTATGGACTTCCCTCCGGTCGAGAGCTTCTAAATGAAAATGTATCCCTCTCCCCTTCCTCCCATCCTCATTCTGTGGTCTGCAGCACTTCTTCAAAGGTCTCAGAGAGACCAGAAATGATCAGCACTTTACACTCATCATGGGTTGTACCAAGCCCTTCTCCCTCACATGCACAGCACACGTCGGGTTTGCCACCCTCTCCGAGGTCAAATGCAGACCTGGGCCTTTCACAAGCCAAAGGCACCTCGCCCTCTGTCATCAAGAACAAGGGTCTAGAGAGGGTTCTCCCTCAGCAGCGAAGCTCATCCTGTCCAAGGATTGGAGAGTCCAACCTCAGTGTTCCTTCCTCTCAACACTCTGGCTGCTCTTTGATCAGCTCCAGGGCTCTTTCCCCGAAACCTAACGGTGAATGGGTGAAGCACAGCCCCAGCCAGTCAGCACATCACAGAGAGGGAACAGAGAAGTCTGCTCAGACTAATAAGAGAAGTGAACAAACTCCAGACCTGTCATCGTACAAGAGGCCATGTTTGGAGAATGGTCACCCTCCTCCCCACCTTTTTCTTCCTCAAAGTGAAGCTTATTTGAACCACAGCTTGGCTTATGCTAACAGATATCTGCAGTACCCCATCCCTGATGGCTTGGCGCTACACTCCGTCCCAATTTCAGGGAAAGGCCCAGTGTACCCTAACCCTGTTCTGCTTGGCAACAACGGCCTTTACCCACCCCACTTGGCTGGAAAACACCCTTTAACCTACTCAAATCTCCCAGCTGGTCCGGGCACAGAATACCTCACTTATAACTCACAGGAGATGGTCCATCCGCTGATGCAGACACTCTCTGACAGCAAGCTGACAGACAGGGCAGATGCAACACTAAAACCCCGGGGACAAGACAGACCACGGGGAGCTGTCGAAGAAGGCGGGAGCCACAGAGATCACAGTGCTGGGAAAGAGACAGGCGAAGGCAACCAAATGAAGCATGATAGGGAGGTAGGCGTGCAAGGACAGGGTGGCAGTCAAAGCAAAAACCTCCCCTCATCAGTGGCGTCCAGAGAAAAGATTGTCTGCATTGACCTTGTACACTCAGACACAGATATTGAGTCTACCCCAACAGTCTACAAACAGCCTTCTGCTGAGACTAGCAACAAGGGGAACCAAAATGAATGTCATAGCAGTCAAAACCTGACAAACACTGACAGTGAAACTAAACACGAAGCACATCTAAGCCACTCTGGACCGACCCCCAACCTGAAGGTGAACAACACTGATGGGCAGCAAGAAGCTGTATTTGGTAAAGGAAAGATTCCCCAGGAAACACCCTGTCTTGTCGAGGTATCAAGGACATCCCAGAGCAGACCAGAGCTCTCTGATGCAGAAGAGAGCACAGAGGAAAGTAGCCCCAGCCCAGACCCTGGGGATCAAGATCAGAGCACTTTACGCTGTGCCCGTACCTCAGGGGAGCGAAGCTCTGGTAAGGACAAAAGAGATGGGGGCTGCTGCGCTCCTCTGGCACAGCACAATACAAATGCAGTAAAGGAGTGTGAGAGGGAGGCTGAAAAAGAGGACAATATCGTTGATCTTGGGGAGTCCCAAGCAGAGGGAGATGATGAAGAGGAGGAGGACGAAGGTACCCAGGCTTCATCTAAAAACTCTCGTAGGTCCAGCTTGGCCAAACGGATCGCAAACTCCTCTGGCTACGTTGGCGACCGCTTTAAATGCGTCACCACAGAGCTGTACGCTGACTCTAGTCAACTGAGCCGCGAGCAGAGAGCATTGCAGGTAAGTCCACAAGTTTATCTTTACACCACAGACTGTATTGGGTTGTTGTCATGTCATGACCAGACATTTCAGACTTAAATGTTTAACCACATGAGAATAAACATTCAAGGGCCACTGCCTTCATTCCCTTTGCCTGTTGAGCAAACCTTGCATGAACTTTGCAAACTTTGTATTTACGGCCCTGTAGAGAATAAATAGTCATGCTACTGTCTTGGCCACTGGTTTGATCTTCCCCCTTTAGTTTATCATTGGCTTGATTTCAGGCACTCTTTCAGGGATTGTCGGTTCAAAGTTTAAACAGGACCGCCATTTTTGTATGTTGATTACCGAGCAGCCATCGTAAAGGTTACTCTGTGTGTGTTTGTGACTCCGTACGTGCCTCTCCTTGTGTGACTGCCTTCAGGCTAAAGCATGTAGTGCTGACTGTGCTCTAGACAGTGGATTCAGAGCATGACCGTGACAACCTCAAAGATCACATCGCCTTTGGCTGTACTTAACCCCAAGTTTAGGAGACATAGGGTTCTTGCAAGATGCTTAACAACCAACAACTGCCAATTTGGGGGCTTGTTTAAAGCCGTGGTTCTCAAACTTTAGCCTAAGTGGAAATTGTGGTGCTTTGACTGTCTTTGATGGTTCGCTGATTTAAAAAAGCAACAACAAAAAAAAAAAACATATATATAGTATATTAATATTCATTTAGTAAATATGAGCAAACTTCTTATACAGTTTCATTTACCTCTGAAGTCAAAACCTGGAACCTGAGATGATTTAGTCATTGATTTGCCCAGTGATCAGGATAACTTACATTATCAAATATTGTAGCAAATATTGTTCACAAAAAAAGAAACATAGTACAGATCGTGAGAAAGAGTTGATAAGCTACAAATACTCAAAAGTACAAATAAAGAAAGGTTTGTATGCCGGACAGCCTTATTAAAATTAGTAGTTTGGGTAGGTGAGAAACTTGACTTTCACACAAAGAATGACCATGTCTGTGGACTTTTCTGTGAATTTGTCTTCAGATTGCGATGTTAGAACTTCTGAGCAAAAATGAAATGTTGATTGAAATGTAGTTTAAAAACACCCATTGGTTGCGTGACACTTGGAAACCTTCATATTTACTGAAGTGGTACTTGAAGTAAAAAGCTTGAGAACCACTGCTCTAAAGCTCTCTGCATGCCCCCTGTCTGCCAATCACAGCCCTCCCCCTAATCCCACCTTCTCGTTGGCCTGAGCTGCCCTGCCTGGTCTCTCCAAGGCCATAATCCTCCTCGACCCACTGGTTGACATGCCTCCTAACATGCATCAGATGACCTGTATAGATGTAAAATCGGAACTCATCCACCATCATCTAGGCACACAGATTAAGTTACGTGTTTTAAGCAGTTGTCTCTGGAGTTTCATGTGCTCAGAAACACAAAGAGAGTATTTTTGTTATTATCCACTGGCTCTGAGGCAGATACCGTAATAGGTTGCTCATGTCTGTCTATGTCGCGAATGCATTCGAGAAAACGTGGTTTTGTCTGTGTCATGCTTTTTAATTCACAGCTGCAACAAAGCTATCAGACTTTGCATTTCTGGGAATGTGAAAACAAAGTGATGGCAAAACTGATTTTGTGTTCCCAATTGTGGTAATGTTCAATCTAGAGATGCACCAATCAACTGGTCGCTTTAATGCGCTTCTTCAGGCTTAGTACAATTCAAATTGATGTATGAAGTGCTATGCAAAAGTATTCCCAACGCAAGTATTCGTATGATTTTGTGAGGCTAAAACCACAAACTGAACCGTGTCTTCTTGGGTTTTACATAAATTTTCGGTTTAACACGTTGAGGAAGGTGCTCTGGTCAGATGACGGGCAAAACTCGATTAGCGCAAACTAACCCTGAACTCGTTGTCCCCATGGTGAAATATGATGGCACCAGCATCATGGTGAAGGAGACTGTTTCTAACTGGCAGAGGAAAACTGGTTAGAGTTAATGGGAGGCTGGATGGAACTAATTACTGGACGAAAATCTGTTTGAGGTTAATCTTCCAGGGGAACAATGACCCCGAACGTACGGCCAGAACTACGAGATATCGGAGCATATCTATGTGTTTGTCGTGGCCAAGTTAAAGCTCAGACCTAAATCAAATGAGCAAATCATGTAATGTGACACAACGGGGTAGTAATCCTTTTGCGAGGCGCTTTAAATTTGCACTTGAATCTAAGACCGGGGCCTTGATAAATGGGCTGCAGTGTTCTTCTTCAGCAGGTCAGACCTTCAAGAAACCTGAAAATCGGTACGGGCTTAGAAAAGTCCGATTGGTGCATCTCTACTTGTTTTTTTTTCTCTCTCTCTCTAATTTGTGATCAGTTTGCTTCAGAAATGACCTGATGGCTTTGATGCACATTTGATTGACCTGTTGAGTCACTTTACTTTGTGTCATTATGTGGGACTGTGGCTGCTTATTTATGTGTGAAGAATTATGTGGAGAAACAAATTCATTTAAGAAAATAAAAATAAAAAAAAAAGATGAAATGCTGGACAGATATATTGAGCCCCCCATTCTAATTGCTTAGATGGAAGTCTTATCACAAGAGGAGAGTAATATAAGCCAACCTGCAGCTAACTGGGAGGTCAGTTCTTTACATTTCTTATCACATCTGTCTCCGACAGGCTCTGTCTCCTTTTGTACTCTGTACCGCTGCACACTCCTTCTTTTTGCCTCCCTTCTTTCCTCTCTCTTTTCTCCCCCCCCCCCCCCCCCCCCACCCCTTCTCATCTCCCCTCTCTCTGCCTCAGGGCTTAGATGTATATGTTTCCAAGCCATGTTTATGTTTCAGGAAAGGGAGATGCCAGGACTTTAAGGCCCAGAGCGCATGGACTCACAGTGGCTGCAGTAGTCTAACCTGTGTCTTGATGCCATGCTTGTGATTTATCTGTCTTCCCCCCTTTTTTGTCTTTGTGTGTGTTTGTGTGCGTACGTGGGTTTAATTTATTTCTTTGGCATTTTCTTTCATATTAAGACAATGTAATTGCTGACGCAATATTTGCTTCTATAGCTGTTGAGGCCAGATTGAGGCTTAGAGAGGTGTGTGTGTTTGTGACGTGGGCAGATGAGTGGTTTTCATGGGTTTTCTCTGCTTCTTTTCCTCTTTTTTTTTTTTCTTTTTTGTTTTGTTGTGTGTTTGTGTGCGCACAGCGGGCAATGATGCGGTTCTCCGAGCTGGAGCTGAAGGAGAAGGAGGGCGGCGGCGGCGGTTTGTGCGTTTCTGCCTCGGTGGCGGCAGCAGGACGGGAGCTGGCAGACGGCCAGCGCAGAGAGAGAGCGCTGGAGCACTGCCAGCACACCACCAGGCAGGCAGAGAGGGAGGGTGAGTAATGCACGCACACACACACACACACACACACATATATATATATATGTAAGAGGACAAGTCGCGATCATAAAGTGAGTCATGCAAACAATAGGTACGCGTGCACACTTGCAGCAAAAGCTGAGGCAAAACTGGGGTCATTCTTAAAAAGAAAAAAAAAAGATGCTCTCTCCTGCAAAAACACGCAGCAACTCTCGCATAAACCGGGCGTGTGGAAGGGAAAAGGCGAGGGGGGAGTTTTTATTTTCAAGAAGCCTTTTGTGCTTATCTGCGCAGAGAGAGAGAGAGAGAAATAGAGAGAGAGAGCGGGGAAGGCAAGAGAGGAGAAGGAGGGGCAGAGATTGCGTGAGTGAAAGCAGGGGGAGTTAGCGGGTGAAAGCGGATGGGAGAGCGCAACGGAAAGAGGAGGCGAGGGGGAGGGAGCTGGCGGGGGTGCAGAGGTGAGGGAGGGTAGTTACGTTGGCCAGGAGCCCAGCTGTGTGTTGGAGCAAGGCCGCGGCTGACGTGTGAGCCTAATTATGGCACGGAGAGGGAGACGGAGAGAGGGAGTCGAGGAGAAATGGAGGTGGGGAGAGGGGGGGGGGGGATAGAGTCACGCTCTGTGTGAGAAGGGCGTGGCTCGGTCATGCCGTGGGGGAGGACAGAGAGAGGGAGAGAAGGGATGTCTTTCCTCTGTGCTGGAAGTGCAAGGAACCATCAGGCCCCGCTGGCTCTGCTCCGCTCCGCTCGCATCAGATTAAAAAGTCTTTACCCCATCAAAGTTTTACTGCCTGTCTTTAAAGCAGAATAAAAGCTGGCTGGTGTTTAACCGCCACTCTCCCGCTCGTCGATCCCTCACATCTTCCCGCCCCACCCGTCGGTTTCCCCTGCCCGCTCTCGGTCTGTCTGGTTTGTGGTCTGTCTGCATTCCTGGGGTCCCCTTTCATGTTTTTTTTCCCCTCCGTCTAACCCTGCTCTTCCGTCCCGCTCTGCTCTGTTCAGGTGTCCGTCTGCTGTACGCCAACAACAGAGTTCCGGTTCTCCAGAGGTGCGTGGCGCCGAGGGACCTCGTGTCCCCGGGTCACCGGGCTCAAGACGGAGCCAGGAAAGCGGCGACGAGAGAGTCTGAGGAGGGACTGTGCATGCCTCCCACTCTGACGCCATCAAAGGAGTTCCTGGAGGAAAAGGTCGGCCTGGGCTTCGGAGCTGCCAGAAAACGCCCGCTCATCAAGGAAGAGCAGGACGACTCGGAGGAAGGGGAGCGGGAGAAGAGAGCCAAGCTTTCTACTGGTGAGAACTTCAGAAACGTGCCGTCTCACTCGCACTTCCACCTCCCATTTCTTTCTGTCTCCTTTTGCTGCAACTTTGATACTCCAGGCTTTTTCCCTGTTTGAAAAAATAATAATAAAAAATAAATAAATCAATAAATAAATCAATCCTGCCTTGAAGCTACAAGGCAGACTTTTCTGTAAATTCAATCAAAGTCACATTAGATCCAGTCTGTCATAGTGAGTTTTTTTCTGTTTGTTTTGCTGGTGATATGGCTCTCTGCCCAGGGTGGCACATTCTCCAAGGCTCTTCAGTGAAATTAAGAAATGTGTCAGACTCAATGATAAGCATGTGGAGAATCTTTTGTCAATAAAAACAAAATCTGCGGTGGTTTCTGAAATGGGCGATACGGCTCAGTGCCCAGGGCAGCATGACTTTAGGGGCGACCAAGCGCTTAAAAGCAATTCATTTTTTAACTAATTAATTTTGTTTTATTTTTACGCTATTTGTCAGTTAGGTTCCAAATGCTTACTTATTGCGTGGCCAATAAAAACTGAACCCGCACCTCGTATGCACTTTGTTAGTATTGCGTTAAGTTCCTGTCTGGTTTCCATCTTCCGATTCTGTGTTTCAGGAAGCAGCTGTTTACAATTTTTTTCCGTTTTTTTTTTTTTTTCTCCAAATCTGCCCGACAAGCTCTTGTATACTTAATCAAAATCATATTGTCTGTCGAATATTGAACAATCACAGTTGGCTTGCTTACTTTTGTCTTGTAAATTTACTGTAAACCACAATTTATCTACATTCCTAAAACATTCCATTACTTCCTGATGAGAAAAGGAATAGTCACTGTTTTGTTTTTTGTTTTTACTTTTCTGTAATTACCTGCTTTTAATCGCATTCGCCCTTCTCGAGCAACTTGCATAAATAAGGCTGCAGCAAAACATTCAAAGTGAATGTGACCGACCCCCCTGAATGTAAAATTTTGCAATTTGAGAAAAAAAAAAATCTCCGGTTAGTTTGAGACGGAAGTCAAATAAATTTGTCAGGATGTCTCAAAAGTTCCCCTTCTGTCACATTTTTTTTTTTTTTTACAAATGCGGTCTGAACAGCTTGATTCCTGTGCCTCTTGTGACGCAATCGACACACGAGTAAACATAGCTGAGTTACCTGGGAGCCCGCAAAAAAAGCTTTGTAAAATTTCACAGTGGAACCCAAAACTTTCTTATCATTCTGTGTTTTTAAAGTCGTCGTATGTTTGATGGTTGAAAAAAAAATAAAAAAAATAGACCACTGGATACCGTCTTTAACCCCAGCACCACCACCCGCCCCCTCCTCTTCCCACTCACTGTCATGCGCTTCGCTCTGTGTGGCAGCCTGCTCCGAGGGGCGTTTAATCCTCCTTCCCTTTGAGCGGAGAGCGCGCAAGAGAAGCGAGGAAGAGGGACAGCCATTCTTTCTCGCTTCTCTTTCAGCTCTGCTGTTCCTCCGCTGTGCTTACCCGCCCTCTTCAAAGCTGCTCTTTTTTTTCCCTTTCTCTTTTCATCTCGCTTTTTTTTTCTGCCTCATCTGTTTGGGTTTCCTTTTTTTTTTTTTCCTTTTTCGTCTGGCATGCAGTATCGTGCTTGCTCTCCTCGGCACTGGCAGACAAGTCAAACACCCATCCCTTGTGAATTTCGGATTGGAGCAGCCAGACTCGGCTTCTTTGGTCTTTATTGGTTTGTTTCTCCCTCGTTTCTTTCCTCCACTCCTCTGTCTGTCGTCCTTCTTCCCTCCCTCCCTTCCTTCCTGCATGAATATTAAACACGAGGCTCACATCGTTGTCATTAATGCTGTTTTGCTGGCACTCTTGAGCTCGCGTGCAGCACTGCTCAAGGCGCTTGCAAGGCGAGACTGAACGACGCACGTTTTGTCGGCAGATGAGTGCGAGCAGGCCAGTCCCGACGAAGATGACGACGATGACGAGGTGCGAAAGCTCAAAGTCCGCATTGAGCTCAAGGGGCTGCGCCTCAGCAAGCCCGCGGCGTCACCCGACGGCTCCCAGTTCAAGCAGGAGAGGCCCTGGCCCCTGCCTCGCACGGGAAACCCGGCACAGACTCCGCGGGAGCGCAAGATCCGGGCGGCCGAGCCCGAGGACCGGGCCGCGGCGCAGAGGAACGACATCAACAGGAAGTGGGGCTGCGAGAAGCTACCTAATGGTAAGAGCGAACCACCAGACGCGCTAACCGCCGCCTTTTATTCTCCGAGTTCAGCTAGGGTAACGGAAATCTATCTTTGGCTCACGTTTCACTTTCTTGTTGAGCAGGCTGTCTTTAGGGGATTTCCCGAGAGCAGTCAGAGAGGCAGGGGGTGTGGGAGCGGTGGGGCAGAGGAAACGGCTCGGGGGACTCTTCCTCCTGCCAGCCAGAAGGGTTGAAGGGGTCTGGGGACCACAGGCTGAAATGTACAAGCCACAACCCCCCTCCACACACACACACACACACACACACACACACTCTTTATTAAATGTTCAACTGGTCTGCGTCAAGCTCTGTGAGGAGGATGAAAGGGAGGAAGTGGTCGGCGGAGATGCGCAGGTGCGCTGTGACTAATGTGTGATCAGAGATTTTTTTTTTTTCCTCTCGAGACCAGTCAGTCACAAGAAGCACTGAATGGGGGATTTATTGGTGCGTGCTGTTGGAGGGGATGGCTGTTCTCATTATAACTGAGGGTTTTCCCTTATTCTTGTGCTGAAACGGGAAGCTGAACGTGGAGAGCAACTATATATGTGGGGGGGAAAAAAAAAACGTAACTTCGCACAAAAACAGCCAATAAGCCTTGATTATCATTTCTGTAAAACATTTTTAGACATCATCACCTTGGCAGCAAATGGGTTTTGCCAATTGTGTGGGTGTGCGTTTCCTTACCATGAGAAACCCAACACTGTTAAACTATTTAAACCGTCATTAATGATGTGACTACTCAAGGTTTTCCTTCTAGCGTGCTGATGTGCAAAGAATTTCTCTATTTTCTCAACTTTATCTACAAATGAAGGATTTGGTGGAATTTAAAACTTGCCAAACAAAAGTTGCGCGGCGGCATGAGTCAGACCGCAGACGCTGATAATAGCTCGTGTTTCTGATTAAGATGTCTCGAGGTGTTTGGATTTTTCTGCTCGCACTCGCAGAGTTTGTTGAATAGCCCGGCGTGCCCTTGCTGCAGGAAATAAGTGCAGACGTCGCTTTGTGATTCCACTGCGAGCAACACAAACGCTTACAGCTACACAGTGGTAAAACCTTTGTGAAGAAACATAGTGGTGGCAGTGTCATGCTGCGGGGCATGCACAAACATTTGACCTGTCATGCACATGGAGCTAATTCAGATGATTGCGATTTCTAGGTTTTTAGGACGAGATCTTCTCAAATGGAAAATGTTTGGTACAACGCAGAGTATTTCTTTTTCTTTATTAGTCATGTTTTTTGTTGTTGTTGTTGTTGTTGTTGTTTTGTTTTTCCTTTGATTTTAATATCATTGAAGTCGGGCCACAAACATCCCGCAACTTTTTACCCAACAGAGACGAACACCCAGTCATCAAACTTGGCTAAAGGCGGCAAGGATTTTAGAAGAAGCTTCTAATTTTTGTTTCTGTTTGTGCTGCTTCATCATGGAAAATCCTAATAAAACACATTTGAGTTTGTTGTAACATCAATAAAGTGAAAACAAAAAGGATGTGAAGAATTTCTCTTTGTATTTTTTTTTTTTTGTTGTTGTAATTGGTATTTTTTTCTTCTTGGCTGGGTAGACTCGTGTGCTCCCAGACAGCTCACAGTGCTCATTAATAAACCAGCAGCCTGTCGGAGACGGCCTTGCAGTACCTTTCTGTCCTCCTCCTCCTCCTCCTCTTCCTCCACCAGCTCTTACTCCCTGTTCTCCCTCTGCTCCCGTTCCAGGAGTAGCTGCTCCCGCCCTTCCCCCCAGCCAGCCGAAGGACAGGCCGCACCAGCCGAGCCTCTTCTCAGGTGACCGCGGCCTTAAGGAGCCGAAGAGGGGGCCCCCGTCGCCGGCCCCGGAGCTCTGCGTGGGAGGCGTCCCTCCCCTCAAACCCCGTCGCCATAGTGACACGGACAAACCCAAGGGCAAGCGGCCATGCAAGACCAAGCACACGGGCCAGCGAGACCGAGAGAGGGAGCGGGAGAAGAGGAAAGAGGCCGCGCCCACCAGCCCCGGCCAGCGCTCGGCGCCTGATCTGGGATCGGCCGAGGACGACAAGGTGAGCGTTGATGGGGGGGGGGGGGGGGTCGGGCTGCGATGCGGCCGTCTGGATGTTTTGCGGCAGCGGAGTGCGTTTCTGTATGCCTGTCGGCGCCTCGCATTATGCAGCTGGGGAAGGGAGGGAGGGACAGAGGAAGGAAGTATGTTTACAATGTTTAGAGGGCTGCGGGAGCTTTGACCTCCCCGTGCCCTTTGCGACTCCCTGAGGAGGCCCCGCTCGCTCGCTCGCTCGTGTTTGTGTGCGCGCTTCTCTCTGGCCTTAATTGTCGAGCGTGTGTCATCTGTGCTATGTTTTTTGTGTGTGTGTGTGTGTGTGTGTTGTTTTTTTTTTTTTTTGCGTGTGAGCCAGCGATGTGAGAGTCCTGCATGTTGGTGAGCATTCCTGACAACAAAACCCTGGAGCAATTATGCATCTCGCTGCGTCCTGAGTGAGTGTGAGGAATGTGGCAGCCATGGTGGAGCACATGACGCTCATAAGGAGGAGGAAGAGGAGGGGAGGGGAAAGGAGCAGAAGGGAAAATCGAGGGAAAAAAAAGAGGAGTCTAGGCGCTTTCTTTCTTTCTTTTTTTTTTTTTTTTTTTTTTTTTCGCCTGTGCTGCTTCCGTCCCCCCTGCTCCTCCTCAGGCTGACAGCTGCTCCGACATGGAATTCCACGGAGAGGGCGACGCGCCGCTCGCACGCACTCACACAAGAACGGGCAGGCAGCTCCCTCTGCTCTGTGAGGGCTCTGCGATTAAAGGAAAGGGGCATGGCGGCCTTTAGCGTTCAGGGTGTGAACGCTCGCTGTGAAAGATGTCTTTTTTTTCTCTCTCTCTCTCTCTCTGCCATTAAGGGACGATGTAACCTCCAAACGCAATTTAGAAAAGTCTTGAAAGCTTCAGAGGTTGGGGCTACAAAACTTGTAGTTTTTTTTTTTTTTTAAATAAAATGTCATGCTGTGGCTACTTGTTTTTTTTTATTATTATTCTTTTGTTTTTGTATTTCACACACATATGCAGAATTCTCTTTACATTTCTGTGGTTTCGTCCATGTGTCCTTGAGTGTCCCTCACACTTTCCTCTCCTCGTCTCCCGTCAGCCGGCCGAGCAGCGCAGCGCTCCGAGGAAGAGAGCCGCCTCTCCTAATCATTATCCCTGCTCTCCGCTGAAGCCCTGCTCCCCCGCCGCACTCTGCCCGCCCGCCCTGCTGCCCCAGGCGAATGTCAGAGCTCCGCCGGAGGTGCCGCCGGGGCTGCACAGGACCCCCCCCCTGGAGACCGCCGCCGTGCGCCCCATCCCGCCGGAGGCTCGGCGGCTGATCGTGAACAAGAACGCCGGCGAGACTCTGCTTCAGAGAGCGGCGCGGCTCGGATACGAGGTAACACGCTTCACTTGGCTCATCTTCCCTCCTTATCTTTCTCTTGCTCTTTCTTTTTTTTTTTTTCTTCTTCTTCCACGTTTTACGCTCTTACACTTCATCTCCCCCGAATCTCGGCCCTCTTTTCTTAAATTGAACTCATTTTCTTCCCCGACTGTTCCTTTCTACGACTCCGGCAGACGCTACTCTGGATTTTTATATAATATATAAATTTATTTATTTATTTTTGAGAATCCTTTCTCTCTCACACATCTCCAATACTACCTCTTTCTAGCTTCTTTTTTCATTTGCTTTTTTCTCTCATCTCACCTTTACTCACATTTTCTTCCTCACATGCACCATCTTATTACTCTTCTCGCCTGCTACTCTCCTCCTCTCTCTCAGGTTTCCACCGTCTCCCTCTCTCCCTCCCCCCTTCCTTTCCTCTCGACGCTCTCTTTCTCTTCCTCTCTTTGTGACTCAGATTGTCGTCGGCACCCCCCCCCCCCACCCTCTGGCCCTCCCTCCCTCCCTCTCCTCCTCCTCCTCACATGAGCACTGGCTCACACACAAACACGCCGCCGCCTCCCCTCCTCTCGCCTCGCACCGCTCTCACATCTCATTAATTCTCCGCGAGGCGAAGTGTGACACACACACATACACACACACACACACACGCGCGCGCACAGGCGCACGCGAATGAGCGCAGGCAGCATGAGGGATCGTTATACGGAGACGGATGCTCGCCAGCTTCTCTCCCTCGCTCTCTCTCCGGCATCGGGGAGGTTATTCCTCCGTCTTTGTGCGGAGCTGCCGATCATTCTTATTCCAGCGGCGCCACCAGGGGGGCGAAGGGGGCTACTTCTGCGTGTATCATCGCATGTAAAGACGAATTTAAGGCCAATATCCGTTCGTGTGAGTTGCAACATTTATTGATATTTTTATTTTTATTTTTTTCTCCTGATCCGGTCACCTGTGTTAAAACTTTCTCACTCTCCCACTTATTCTCTGCACATTGTAAAGAAAATGGGGGAATGTGTGTGTTTTGGATGTTCCCCGTCTAATTTGAGGGTTCTTGGCACATCGCTGGGGTTGGCAGGTCTCACAAATTGATGCGGCTCATGTCGTTCCTCTACTTTATTTTAATAGCGCCCGACCACAGTCTGTGTGGTTTGTTTGTTTGTTTGTTTTTTAGAACATCTGTGGAGTGTAGCTTGATCCCGTCCAAATTTGAGTTTCAGATGCAGATTTCTCAAAGTTGCTTTCCAGTGGTTTCCTTTTCGCATGTTTGACTGCCATCCCTTTCACAAACCTCTTCCATATGCGTCTTGAATTAGCCGTAGAGTTCTGGAGTTCTGCTCAAACGTGCTCCTGCGGCCGTGCAAAACAAAAGCAAAGGCCTTTGAAGGTGGTGTTGGATTACCCATGAAGAAAGAGAGGGGGGGACGCGTAGGAGGGGACTCAGGAGATGGACGTACCTGAAAGTACGTGCGGAAGGAAGCTGGTGTTCGGGAGGGCGGGTGTCATCTTAACTCACGACGCTTCCTCACAAAATGGCAGAATAAATAAAAAAACTGACCGTGAGACGTTCTGAAGGTGGCAGAACGCATATATAACAGGAGTCAATTTTTACAATAACGTCTTGCTACGTGCTCTATAAATCGCAAGACAGCGATGCAAGTCAGCATCGACAGGACATGCAAAGAAGCAATAGAAAACTTGCTCACGGCACAATTGAGACAGCTATTTAAAACATAATTGTCAAGTGCTCAGCCTCCCCCTCAGGGCTATGACGCCCTGGGCAGTGAGCCATATCGACCTCATCTGCTCCCATGTGTGTTTGCGTGCGTTAATGGGGGAGGGGGGGGGGGTTCAGTGGAAAACCAGTATCTTTGTGCCACGCTCGTTCCTGCCTTGCTTTATAGTTGCGCATGTTAGTTGGACACATTTATGGTGATGAGGGAAGTGTGTGCGGGTGATTATGTGTGTGAGGCTGAATGGGAGAGAGCAGGAGTGTGAATGAGAGGTAAGCACTGGGAGTATAATCGCGTTCTAATGGCCCTCTAATGTGCCGTGGTGACTGTGGTTAGCAGCGGCGGCGGCTGTTTTTCTCCCTGGCTTTCCGAGCGCGCGCGCGGAGCGCACACACACACTCGCGCGCGCTCGCGCACACACACAGAGTCGGGACGCAGCGCAGCAACAGCAGCAGCAGGGCTCAGTCAGCCGTGCTCGAGTGAAGCTGGCTCGTCTCTCTGATTTATGCGTCTCTCTCGAACGTTTTTTTCCCTCCCTCTCCTATATTTTTTCCTCCCCTCCTCTCCCGCTTCGCACTGCCCCCCCGCAGTCCCCCCGTCCCCTCACCCCCTTCCACCTCCTCCCCCTCTTCCCTTTCTGCGCTCCTCGTGCGGAGAGGCAAAGCGAGGAGAGGGAGGCGGAGAGGGGGAGGGGAGGAGAAAACCTGAGACTACACAAACAAGGCGCTGACCGCTGCGCAAACAACACCGCCGCCCCCCCTCTTCCCTTCCTCCCACCCTTTCTTTCTTCTTTCTTTCTTTCTTTCTCTCTTTCTTTTTCGTTCTCTCTCTTTCCCCCCCCCTTCGCTCAGGAAGCTCGTCTCTCACTGCCTGTGTGAGATAAGCCCGGGGCAGGCCCCTGGGGCTCCCACGCACACGCTTACACACACGCGCGCGCGCACACACACACACACAGACACACACACACACACACACACACACACACAGACAGAGAGACAGTGCGCATACAGAGACACACACCAGTTTATGCATTCTGTCTTTCCTACACACACACACACACACACATCCACGCAGACACTCGCAAGCCTGTAGCTGCACAGAGCGCTTGTCTCTCACTGGTGTTTTAGCGCCGCGAGCTCCGGGCTTATCACACGCAGGCAGAGAGATACGAGGGCCTGCGAGACGGAGGCGCACACACACACACACACACACACACACACACACACACACACCACACACACACACACACACACACACACACACACACACAGACACGGCTCACATGCTGATTATGAAGCATGCAAGGAAATATGCGGAGAGAAACACCCGCTCTGACCCAATAAGCAGACGCACAGACTTCCCTGACGTGTTCCTCTCCATATGCTACACGGAGAGACGACTCTTCTCCTCCGCGCTCGCTGCTGCCGCCGCCACTGTCGCTGTCGCACACCCACACAAACTCGCATGCGCGCACACATGGACTCACAGAGCTGCGCGTTAAGCGTTTAGAATAACTCCGTGCACGGACGTACGCACGCGGACTAAAAAAAAAAAAAGCGGGGATGGAGAAGCAGGGCTTGTTGGCTCAGGCGTCCCTTTTGTGTGAAAACCTGTACACGCAGCAGAACGCAAGAATTGTCGCGCGTGCGTGCGTCAACCCAGCGCGCTCAGTGCAGCTCTCGAGCCCCCCCCCCCCCCCCCCTCCCGGCACCGTGCATATTTCATGTTCATTTAGTTTCGCAATCCGTGCCTCTGCACATGAAAGCCCACTCTCTCTGCCTTCCTTCCTCCCTCGCTCTCTCGCTCGCCTTTTATTCTCGCCGCTCTGCCTGCCTCGCTCGCTGAGCATTTGAAATGCTAATGAGGAGAGATTCTGCGGATGTCTTCATCCCTCTCGCGGCGCTGATCGGGGGCCCCTCAGCTCTGCCCGCTGAAGGCTCAGATAAAGGTGCAATCTGTCATTTATTCTCCTCCGGTGAATCGCTTCAGAGCTCGGCTGTCAGATCGATGCGATCCAAGCAGAAGACAAAAGTTCGGATTCACCTGAAGCGCCCCGTCGGACCGGCTTTCTGTGACGGCGAAACTTTGAAGGGAAGTCTGCGCAGTGGCGGGGTTTGGTTAGTGTCGAAAGGCGCAATTACTTCAAAGGTCATCCGATTGACGGCAGATGGTCTGATCTGAAGGAGTATGGAGGACAGTCTGCCGTAAGAAGGCTTTAAGAAAGTTAATATTTTAGAATCTAAAATAAAATACAACTGCATTACTGTTAGAAAGGTTTTAAGCATTTTTAAAGAAAGTTCCCTCTTGCTGAATGGAGTGTAGGTAATAACCCGGTTCTGCCCCTCCCCCACCTGTTACTGCACACTGCAAATGAGACTGCCGCACTTTCAGGAAAACCGAATTTTGCTCTTCTGACATATAATCGGTCATAAAAAAAAATAAAAAAAACACTCAGATGGCAAAGGCGAGCCCTTCTCTGACCTGCTGCTGTAAATCATGGATCATACTAGCTGCGCGTGCGATCGCTAAAAAAACCCCAAAACAATGAAACCAACGTCTCAGAAATCAAAGGACGCACAGAGAGAAACTCTGCATAGTCTGAACAGAAAATAGGTGTAAGACGTCGTTCCTTTGAAATGGTGAGCACGTCAGCGGTCGCGTTAGTTTTCTGTTTTCTACTGAAGGAACTACCCTCTGCTGAAGTCCAGTCTTGTTTTTGCAGTAATTCGGAGCTTCTCGTGCGTATGCGCGAAAGAGCCCATGGTCATCCTGGTTTGTTTTGGCCCTGAATCCCCCTGCCAGCTGCTTTCACTGACAGCTTGTCATGGCTGCATCGCAGCATTGAGCCCGGGAAGCCTACCCAGCCCACTCCCATCCCCCCTCTGTGTCGACTGTTGTGGGACCGTGACTAACTTGCTCAGCGGCTCAGAGGAGAGCTGACTCGAACACCCCCCCCCCCCCTCCGCTCTAACAAGAGCTGATGAAAAGCAGTCTAAATTTATGTTTTGTGCGTTTTTGCGAAAGAGTCGACTGCTGAAAAACAAAACCCAACATATTATTCGTACCTCTCATTTTCAGTGTGTAGATAGATGAGAGTTTCCTCAGGTAGCTTTGACTCTCGCCCACTTGTTGCTGCACACTGCTGGCCGGCTGGCAGAAACCCCCCGGCCCTCCCGAAAAACAGCTGCTTAGATATAAATGAGTGTGTTTGGGTTGTGAGAAATACAGTCGTGAGTAGAAGCTAAAGGGCAACACTCATTACCATTTCCGACATGAGCAGCTTGTGTTCAGCGGCCTGGACCCCTGAGCAGATAGCCCAACTAATTTAACCAGCCATGACAAGCTGTCAGCTTTTTATACTCCAGCGAGAAGTAGAACAACAAAAGGGACAATATTTGGTGCAACACGCACTACAACACCGCTGCTAAATTTCGGGACTATTTATAGTTGGACAACAGCCATTCCGATCATTTTCCATCTTAAATCAATGCTCATCTAGTTTCCTTTTCGTCAGTGTTTGTAGTTTGCATGTGCAGACTGGTCCTTGGCTCTTGTAGTTATTTATGTGCAGACAGAAATGTGAATGTTTGAACTGCACAGATTAAAGGCAGTCCTGCTGCAGACAAGCCAGAGCTGTACTCGTGGAATTGGCTGCAACGGAAGACCTTTACTCACTTTCACTGTCTATCCAGATCATAGGACAGCATTTATTTATTTTTTTACTTGGGTTTTCCTCATATCTATATGGCATTCCAATTTCATTACAATTTTGTATGTTTCTGTATTACAGATAAGCGACTGTAACAGCATAAATCCCTTTGGGAATTGTGTTTCCTGGTGGGAATTTTTAACAATGCAGCCGCAAAGTGATTGTTTAAAAGCCTTCTGCTGCCATCACCTTATTTCACTGACTTTTACGTGCTGGGGTTTAATATTAGTAAGACTCTGATACTAATAATCGACTTATTTTTTTAATTTTATTTTTAAAATCGAGCCTGCAAATGATTTTATTCGGACTAAAGCAAGCCCTTTGAACAACGAGGCTGCACAGATTAATTTGTTTTCAGAGCCGGGCTCAAGAGGCCATTCAAAGAACTTAAATGGATTTTTTTTTTGTTTCTTCTCCACTTTGGTGTTTGCTTCGTTTTCATTACCCCGAAGTCGCTGCCGAGCGTCGACATGGAAACGTCCAAACAGGCTTATACCTGGGAGCTGGAAAGTTGGCGAGCAACCAGGTTTAGCAGTCAGCAAGCTGTCATCCCGAGCTTTCACCAACTTCTTTTTGTTTTTTTGTTTTATTTTTGCCTCAGTGGCTGTCTGACGTGCCACCAGAACAGACAGTGACTCATATTAGGCCCCTTGAATCACTCGTTTTGCATGTGGATGAGGGGGAATACGTGGCGCAAATTACTGCTTGAAAAGGAGGGCATTTATCACGGCAGCCAGAGGTGACTTTTCTCTCTCCCTCCCCACCCTCCACCACCCCACGCACCCCCGCTCCCCTCCCCCCTCCGCGCACACTTTTCTCCCCTTTTCCTTCTCAGCTTTGTTAATAGAATCTGAGTGGCTCAGTGTTAGATTAATTAACTGTGAGATCATCATCAGCGGCGGCAGCGGCAGCGCCTTCAGTCGCACTGAATCCTCACCCCACCCACACGTTTCACTTTTCCGTGCACGCACCAACTTTCCTTTTCGCCGGAAAACTCCAGTCTGGCAGATTCGCTCATGCATCACCTACACATGTGACACGCATCCAACGCAGGCAGCGCCGGAAGGGGTTAAACGTCTGAGTGATGCATTGATTGCAGGGGAGCGCGGGGAAGCATTCTAGAGAGGGAGATTAGAGGACGGAGCGCGAGAGAAGAGAATAGAGGAAGCAGCGGAGGGGAGGTGGGGGGGGAGCTTGTCTCGTTTTACTGCGGAGGAGTGTGTGTGTGTGTGTGTTTGCGTGTGTGTGTGTGTGTGCGTGTGTGTGTGTGTGCTCGCGTCTGGCGGGAAGCCGGGGCTTTCGTGCTAAGCTCCTCGCTCTCTCCCAGCGATATTAAACACGGCTCCGGAGGTTTAGCGCTGCGCCTCCTCCACAGCCACACGCGTCAGCAGCACAGAAACACACACACACACTTTGGCACGCTGCATATCAACACTCCCTAGCCGTCAGTCTCTCTAACACTTGCTCTCACTCTTGCGCACACACACACACGCACACAACACACAACACATGCATAGAGCGAGTGGAATCCCCCAGAGGGGAGCTTCGGCACAGCGCTCCTGAATCTCTCTCCAGCAGGCAAACAGAGTGTTGGCAGCGAGAGAAAACCAGTTGGAGCGTCTTCCCACCCTCCCCTCGTTTCTCCACGTTCACTCTCACTCGCTCACTATTTTCTACCACTCCGGATTTCCACTTCTATCTCTTCTTCTTCGGCATCATCTTCCCGCCCTGGTTTCACTCCCCTCACACACACGCACACACACGCACACACACCCCACCCTTTCATCTCTTGTTATTATCAGCTGTGACCCCAAAGGACGGCCTCGGCAGATTTCCTCCACGGATTCATTCATCTGTCATCTGCCGGGTTGCGCTGCCTCTCGTCCCCTCCGTCCTCTGCTCGTCCCTCCCGTCCATCGGCCCGTTTTCTCTCTCAACTACCGTTTTTTTTTCCACCCTCCAAGCGCTGAAAGGGTGGGGAGGGGCAGCGCGATAAACACTTGGACTTAGATGGCTGGCCAGAATTAGCATAGAAATGGAGGCTTGGTGTCGTCTACCCAGGTTCAGATGAGCCGCTTTGGCTCCCCACGGCAACAGGACCGCTTGCAGAACGGAGTATGAATGCATCTGGATAAACGAGCCTTGCATTCACATGCATATATAAATATTTAATAACGGAGCGTTTTTTTTAGGATCCAGAAACACGGCGGGGGTGTGGAGGAAGGCCATTTAGAAATAGTCGGATTTTCGCATCTTTTTCTGTACTTTGTGTAAATTTCCAAGGTGAGTTAAAAAAAAAAAAACACCGAAAACTAAATCCGCTCACAGCCGTCACCCCCACCAAATTTGCTCTTTGTTTTTACTCATCTGCTCTAAATAAAAAAGTTCTCACTGTTTTATTTTATAAATGACATCAGATGAACGTTAGGTTACCAACTGTCTTAAATTTTTCTCTGATTGTTTTCCAAATCTTATGAAGTTTAACGTCTGGATAAGGCCTTTGCTTCATTTCTCACGTCAGACCTTTTCTTTTTGTTTTTGTTTTTCTTTATCAATTGTTGCAGACACTGACAGAAGACACACACATTTGGACTCACTTAAAAAACAAAATTAAAGAAAAATGAAAAAGGAGTAATTGATCTGCTTTTGGTCTGCAGACCTTCCTGGATCAAGGTTTTACTTTAAACTTGTAGTTCAGAGTACTTAAGCCTCTATTTTAAGTTATCACAAACAATATAAAGGCGTCACAGTTCACAAAGTGTGCTTCAAAGAATCTGTTTATTGTTGAATAATCCGCTCCAGATTTAACCCTAACAGTTTGTTACGGGTTTTGAAACTGACCTGAGCTAAGTTGATCCAGATGCCTACAAAGATCAGTGGAACAACCCAGCACCCCACCGCCGAACAGGAATCCAGCTCGTTGTCTCACGACTGGTGTTTTTTTTTTTTTTTTATAATGAGAGAGGCGTTAAAACTTATGAGAAACTTGTCATTTCACAGCGGAAAATTCGCGGGAACCACGATCTGTCCTTTTAGTCGACACGGATTTGTTCAGGAAGCAGCACAGCTCGGCTGTTACTGCAGCAGCAGGAGGTTCCGTTTTCCCCACCGCCAGTCCCAGCTGCACGTTTCTGCCTCACAGAACAAAAAAAAAAAAAAAAACATCTCAACTTATTTGTAACTCCTAAGCTAATCAGTGGCTGCGTATAAGTGCGTTTGCGCTTTCACGGCGCACAAAAAGACGCTGGTCTTTGGCGCAAGCATATTCAGTGGTTTGTGGAGAGGATCTGTGATTGCATGGAAAACAGACAAAATTCCTGTAAATCTGCTTCAGTTTTTTTTCAGCTTTAATTTGGGAGTTTAATGTATGACTTACATGTCTAGTACAAAAAAAACAGCATTTATGCTTATTGAAATCACTTTAAGAATGTGCAGCTCGGCAGGCTGCATGTTAACGGCGTAGAAATGACCCAAGCAGACCTTGTATCCACACGCTGCCCTGCAGCTTCCTGTCTCTCCGTTTCCTCTCTGCCTAATGGCGGCAGACGCTGCTCCCGTCCAATAAAGACCATTCTGACTACTTAGCGCCGGACGCCCAACTGTCACAGCCTTAGACCAGAGAAAACGCTTCCAGCTCTTAAGCGCCTCCATCAAATCTCTTTGTTCCGCTTCCATTATGCCGCGCTCGGAGCCCAGCCATTGTAGCTGGCTGCCACGACGGCGTCCGGGCCCCAATCACGCTGCACACACAAACACAAGCGCTCGCGCGCGCACACATACACACCCACACACACACACACACACACTCGTACGTGCGTGAGCAGAATCTGGCAGGCAGAGCGCAGTTGAGTCACTCTCGGGCTCCTCGATGCGTTTGGCGCCAGCTCCGGTATTATGGAGCGTTTGTGCGCCTCTGCGTATGTTTGTCCGGCACAAGAGCACACTCAGTTCTTCCTCTCCCGTCATTCCTCTCCCACAGGAACCGTAAAGGGGAAAGGCTGTGTCTGCTCGTGTGTATTCTTTGTCATCACGCGTAGAGTAAACACCCTCTCGCGCTGAAAAGCGGCTCACCTTTTTTTTTTTTTTTTGTCGTCTCTCTCAGGAGGTGGTGCTGTACTGCCTGGAGAACAGAGTCTGCGAGGTCAACCACAGAGACTACGCGGGCTACTGCGCACTCCACGAGGCGTGCGCCCGGGGCTGGCTCAGCATCGTTCAACATCTGCTGGATTATGGCGCCGACATCAACTGCAGCGCGCAGGACGGGACCAGGTATATAAAAAAAAGAAACGCTTCCTCTCTCTCTCTTTCTCTCTCTGTCTCTCTCTCTCTCTCTCTCTCTCTCTCTCTCTCTCTCTCTCTCTCTCTCTCTCTCTCTCTCTCTCTCTCTCTCTCTCTCTCTCACACACACACACACATTCCCCTTCAGTGTTTTCAGTGCCTATTCTGAAACAACTGTAGCTCTGTCAGAGTAGATGGTGAGTATATAGGCAAATTATATATAGCTCTAGACTTTAACTGGGCTCTTTCATTGGCTGCATACATTTTGATTAAGATTATTTTAATGTTGCTATAGCTACAAGTTAAAGGTCATGAACCTTTAAAGTCTTTCCTCCTTCAGGTGCTGTACTGGGTCAGAGTTATCAAGTAAATTTGTAATGCAGTCCATCTCAGTCTGTGTTTTTAAAAAAAATAAACATTTTGAGTAAATTCAGACTCTGTTTTTCTGTATCGGATTGGCATCGGCCGATACTAAACCTCAGATATCTGTATCGGTATCGGAAATGAGAGAGTGGATTTTTGCATCTTCGTTATATTTAAGCGTATCTGAGTAAAGTGGGGTAAAGACAAAATGCAGAAAAGGACAGGGCTTATTAAAAGCAAACGTAATTTTCAGATTAAATAGTTTTAAACTGGAATAAATAAGGTGTATGTTATGGGGACAAGGCAGGCTGAAGGAGCATAAATATTAATGACACATGCTGTAATTTCCCACCAAACCCCCTCTGATCCCGTGTAACCTCCGCCTGTGCATCATTGTGTTTAGACCCATCCACGACGCTGTGGAGAACGACCACCTGGACGTGGTGCGGGTCCTGCTGTCGTACGGAGCCGACCCCACTCTGGCCACGTATGCTGGCCGCACCCTGCTGAAAATGACCCGCAGTGACAGCATGGAGCGTTTCCTCTCTGGTGAGTGGTTTGCATTTTCAAACAAAACTCTAGTGTAAGGTTATTAATGTTCCAAGATAAAGGGAGCACGCAATGTGTATGTGGACATTTTTCTAAACTGACCTCATTGTTTCCGGACCTTTTTTCTTCTTCTCTAGTCTGAACAGACTGGGATCAGAAATCAAACACCTTTAGTTTAATTTAAATGAGAATAATAGTCATTTCGGCTGCTGAGAGAAGAAGCCCGGGAGAGTGGCGTCAGGGTTAGGGCCGGGGGTAAACGGTTTAAAAGCTTGGTCACCAACTCTGTTCCCAGTGCCCCCCCCCATGCCTGCTCTCTCTGTTTGCTGTTCTTTCACTGCTCTGACCTCTGCTCAACCTGCTGGCAGGACTCCCTCTCTGTAAATCCTCCTCTTCCACCTCGGAGCAGCAGCAGCTCCACACGTCCATCTCTGTCATCTCATCTCCCCTCAGGCGCCCGCCTCCTCCGCTCCGCACTCCTCTCCCTCCCTCGGCCACCTGTTAGACAGGGATTCTCGGCTCGCCGGGGTGCGTGCTGCCGCCGCCTCTCGGCTCCTCTATCTGGTTACCTAGCAACGGCCACTGTGTTTGCTCGGCGTACGTGCAAAGGGGAAAAAAAAAAAAGGCTTCGCTTTGGCTGGAGAGCGCCTGTCGTTTCGCACGGCAGCCCCGCTGGAGTCTGACACGCTCTGTGTTTGGAGTTTGTGTGTGTGTTGCGAGGGCTCGTCTGGATGTTTATAGTTAAGTTGAGTCAACACGGCTCTGTGTGCGGGAGGAGAGGGAAATGAAATCATGTTCAGCTGCCTCGCTCCGCCTGAGCGCCGAACTAGTTACGACCCGTCGCGCGAGGGGGGGGGGAAGAAAAACGGACAGGTGGCGTTGTCGGCGTTGAATTTTGAGGCGACGGGATGGATCGATGTCGGCAGAGCTGGAGGAGAAGGAGCGAGCTGCGCGCCGCCCTCCCTCCACCTGGTCCCACTCATCTGGAGGCCGTTAATCCCTCCAAACACACGCCAGACGCCCCACGCCTCAGAGCTGGCACCGAGCCCGGCTCTCGCTCTGCAAATGTACGCGCGCGTGCTGAATACACACCGCGTTGCTTATCCAGCTCCCTCTGCTTGTTTGTTTCTCTCTCTCTCTCTGCTGTGTGTGTGCGCTCTCGCTCCGAGCGACTGTGTGTGGTTCTTGTTTGATTCCTGGCAGCCGTCTGTGGCCCCGCTCTGAACTGAGCCGGCTCTAACCCAGCAGAGACCGTCGCTCTCCTCCCCCGCCGTACAGCCCCTGGCCTCTGACCATCACCACCTCAAAACATTTCTCTGTTTGTTTTTCTTTTCACTCTCTCCCTCTCTCTCTCTTTCTTTCTCTCTCTCGACACTCCCTCTCCCCCTCTGTTTTACTGTGCTCTTTATCCATTTGTCTGCTGTAGTCTCCAAGGGCAATTGTATTTGCCTTGTTGCCTGTCCCCAGGCGCCCGGCTCTTGAATAACAGGCTTCTCCTCTCTCCACAGATTATTTTGCTGACCTTCAGGGCCGCTCAGATGACGATCCAGGGCTTTATTGGGAGTTCTATGGCAGTGCTGTGTGTGGTGAGTACTGATCAGCGCTCTGTCTGTCCCGTAATGCTTAAAAACGGTGTAGTTCTACCGTGAGGAACCTTTAATCTCCCCCTGGCCTTGGGTTGAGTGCGTTTCCACTCTGTCTGCAGGAACGTCGCTGCTTCAGTTTTGTCTCAAAACTCTGAAACTAGACCAACCCTCATCTCAGATGTACAGCAGTTACAGTTTACAACCTGAGTAAAGTCACTTCAAACTAAAACTGGGCGAACTCGACTATCGAGTGTGAGACAAAAGAAACACGCTTCTGTTGTTGGAAATAAAAATCTACAATTTTCAGCACTAAAACTGACAAATGTTTTAAAGCAATTACACTCTGCAACTTATGCGGAGTAACTTGAAAACTCATCGAAAGATTGATCTATTGAGATGCAGTCTTCTAAGGCAGCAGTTACACTGTGAAACAGAATTAAAATCTCTGAAGAACCTGAGGTAGTTATCCACATGTTTAAGTCCCTAAAACTGATCTGAGCGCCACGTTTGCTCTCTTTGAAGTCTCAGATGATCCATGCTTCATTGAACTAATTCAATCAATACATTTAGGCTGATCTTATTAACATAAACTCATGTTTAAAATTAGTTTCTGGGTTTAAATATTGCTGTCAAACAAAAAAATAGCAATTTCTCCCATAGCATTTTTAAAAACTATCTGAAATTATTTAGAAGTCCAAAAACAAAAAGATGAAAAAAAAAATCTCTTTGGTGCTTAATTTATAGACACAAACATCAGCAGAAACTACCGTGGGAGCTGGGAAAGGTTCTTGCCGTAGGAACACACCGTTTGCTCTGTCAGCAAACCTTTTCTAATCAAGGCGGCTTCTTTACGAGATCGATGATGACGGTGCTAACTCGTGTTGTTGTTTGCGTGTCAGAATCTGGCGAAGAAGGTGGTGTTTACAACATCCTGGCAGACGCCCCCGGCCCAGACAACGAGGACGAGGACGAGAAAAGGGAGGTGTTTGAGTTCGAGTTCTCTGACCGACCTCTGTTGCCGTGCTACAACATCCAGGTGTCCCTCTCCCAGGGGTGAGCTTTGATCTCGGAAGCAGACATCACTACTTATTTTTTATAGCCTCCGCCCGCCCTCATTCCTCAACTTCTCCCTCCCGCCCCTCTTTCAGACCAAGAAACTGGCTGCTGCTGTCCGACGTGCTCCGGCGCCTGCGCATGTCCGCCCGCGCCTTCCGACAAGCCTTCCCCCACATGGAGGTCGTGACGGTGGCCGAGGCCGAGTTCTACCGGCAGGCGTCCCTGTCGCAGCTCTTCTCCTGCCCGGAGGAGCTGGAGGGCTTCCACCCAGACAGCAAGGACCTGCTGGACCTGGTGGAAGACAGCGCGGAGCTGGCCGCTCTGCTGGGCTCAACACTGGAGTGTCTGGACGACCGCTGGGACCACCCCGCGGACAAACTCAAGGACAAAATGAAGGCGGCGGGCAGGCTGGCCTCATCCTGACCTTGTTCCTCACCGAGTGGCGTTTGCTTTAGAACCAATCAGAGGTTACAGATATGCCTTAGCGTGACCCTTAGTTCGCTCGGCTTCAGCCCGGTCCCGGACCAGCACTGGTGCACTGTACAGACAGACTGACCCACCGGCTGACTGGGCTACGGAAGCATTTCTCTCCGTTAACTAAGGATCGACACATTTCTGACTCAAGAGACTTAATGATGGTCTTATTTTTATAAATTAATATATGTATAAATAAATATATACAGTATATATAATATGGAGAGCTTTTGTTTTTTCCCCGTTTGTGATGTTGCTCACTGCTCCTCTAAAAGCTTTTTTTTTTTATTGAGCAGTCGTGCTTTCAGCAACTGAACGGAGTGTGTGAATGTACAGCGCACTGTGCATGTTTCATTGTACAGAATAGTTCTGAGGCTGTGCTGTTCAGTCTGATATTTGTGTTTATAGAAAGCACATGATGTCCATTTTTTTCTCCCCTCCCCTAGTTCTCAAACTTTAGTGCTCGCTTGAGCCTCAGGGGCTACTTTGTTGTAATTTTTTTTTTCCTTCTAAGTTTTCCTTTCAGGCTGTAATTTAAACGTTCGAAACTGCAAAACTGTTTGTATAATAAAGTTTTAAGATGGTGTTGATATTCCCCCTGTGGCACAGAGCTTGTATATAACGGGGAAGGCTACTGCAGTACGGTCATTTTTTTTTTTCTTTTTGCCTTTTTCCTCAGTGTGTTCATTTATTTTTGTTTTGTTTTAACTTTGTAATTAAAATATCCCATAATTTGTATTTATATTTTACAAAAGAAGTTGCTTTAAAATAAATATACAAACTGCAAGTTGAACCAAACTCCTGGTTTTTGTGTCATTCATTAATCTCGGATGTCAGCTTCTGATGCGTGTCAAAACCGCTTTTCATGCCTAATTACCCAGCATGTGACCGCGGTGTGAACGCGGTGCTATAGTGCCCCCTCTTGGAAAATGGACGCCTGGCAAGCTCTTGCCGCGGCCTTGAAAGAACGCCGCCGCCTCTCCTGCGGCGAGAAGCGGAATCTGTTGGTCTCACAGCGCCCCCTGGTGGACAGAGCCCAAAAACTAATTGGAAATTAGAATCCGGTGTCCAGAGTTAAAGGTTTAACAGCCTTTGATTTGGACCCAACAATCCATGTCAAATTACTTTATTAATTTAATTTTTTTTGTGTCTGTGTTGAAAACTTCTTAAGGTTTCAAATTTCGTACCACAAACCCAAACTGGTAGGACAATTTAAAAATAAATAAAATCCCCGAAATCCTTGAAGTTGAAGAGCTTTGTGACCGACTCGTGGGTTCATTGGACGTCTTCCAATCATCCACTCTGGATTTAACAGTGATTACGTCTCGAGTAATCCGTTTTCCTCCGTCATGACTTTAGGTCAAAGGTTGCAGCACTGAAAAACCTTTGAGGAGTGCACCGTCCCTCAGATGAAGTGGTTAGAATGCAAAACCCACGGGCGTAGATCCCGGGGAGGTCGAGGGCGTCCAAGAATGAATGTGGCGTGAAAATTTGCGTAAATATATGCCAACTTTTGACCTACTGTGAAAATGTGCGGCAGCCACGCAAACGTCCCGTGGACAATAAACTACAAAGCGTTTAAAACTTCCTCAAACACACCGAAGTCTGACTGCATTCAGTGTTGTTTTTCATAATTTTAATATTCAAATAAACTGAACTGCATTTACCCTCAGACAATAACTTAACACAAAATAAAAGGATGTGAAAACCTCACTCGCGTGTAATGATATTCAGGTTTTGCTTCATAAAGATGTAACGCATTGGTCTGTGCGCCGAAGCGCATGAAAAGCATCTGCGGGGTGATTTCATTCTGTCTGAAAAAGAAAAGGCGGGGTTGGATCAGCAGATTGACTCCAAACAGGTTTGATTATGCGGAAGGTGATCAAGGTGTGTATACAAGTAGCTGCGCAAAAGGCGTGCCGCGTAATTGCGGAGCGCTTTTTCTCTGACGAGAAGTTGCCAATCCAGGGACTCGGAGGGAGCGTGTGATCAGAGACCATACTGATGTGTTTAAATTGTCCGCGCTGATCACCCTGGTAACTGAGCACAACTTAAAGAAGGAGCCGTGCGTCACCGCAGTCATCCTTCAGTCGAGCAAAGCCCGCTTTGTGAATGCGCCTTTATGGAGCGAAAGCATCTCCTCTCTGCAAATACACAAGTTGTGGACATGATTTCTCTCGAAAAAACGTCCACATTCTCAAAGAACTGACACGCTGTCTGTCTTTAAATCTTGGCTGAACGCCCGACAGTTCAAACAGACATTTTGCACGTTTGAGTCTCTCTTTTTTAAATTTATTTCTTTAAATTGTATTTGTTGCGATGTGACCTTATGTGCTCCGAGAGCAGATTTAGAATAAAATTGAAATACTTACACTGCCACAAATAAGGACGATGCCATGGTTATTGCTGCAAGTCGTCGCAGACTTCCAGGCGTTCCTAATTTATATATGCATTTAAGGGTCTGGACAGGGCGGAGCAGCAGCTGCGCGCCATTTCCCCCCAATGTGGGACGGATAAAGAAAAGGTATGTGCGTACGTACATTACGGCAATTGCTGAACTCCTTGGTCAGCCTCAGTGAACACAAATGTTCAGACCTTTCACTGCAACTGCAAGACCAGCCATAAGTACAAAGACAGATGCTATTCCACTACTGCAAACACTGGGTTGAGACACGCTGTCTGTCTCAGACACAATCAGAGACACAATCCCCTCTGAAGGGCTAGTTCAAAGTAAAATACCTTTGATGGTAAACATGAGGCTTTTCCCTGAACTTCCAGATTGTGTTAAATGGGTCGCTTGGGTCTGGCACCATTACTTCCATTTTGTTTCCAGTTGAACTGTTGATTTTGAGAGAAAGTTCACTTTCAATTCTTTACTTTTACAAACCTGTAATATCCTAAGAATTATGCTTTTTACCTTTGGTATCTTGCATCAACATGGAGTCAACATGGTTTTTCTGAGTAAGTTTATTCACTCTTGCCGTATTTTAGTCCTTAAGAGAAATTTCAAGAAACGTCTCGTAGCTTCAGTAACTTACAGCTTGGCATCTTCTCCTGTTTGTCTGCTCCTCAATTTTGCTCCTCAAGTGGCACACATTATTCTTTCACAAAGAAGAAAGGAAGAAAAAAAGACGTTTACATGAATTCACAGTTTCACTTGCTTTCTTGGTTAATTAAGAATTAGGACAAAAAAACAAACAAACCTTTGTAAAGCCAAACAGCAACAACCAGAATACAACCACTTCCCATTGTTCCTGCCACAACCTGAAGTTCCAATTGACATTTGACCTTTAAATACCCCAATCTGCAGTTTACACAGCTGCATCTCATCAACTGCTTCACATTACATAAAGTCACTTAAGGCCCTGATAAAAGCCTCAGCTTGACAAGTAGAAAGTGTCTTAACTTCTCTTTCTATCACATTTTTCACTTAGCATTTCCCTTACAAAAGCAAACTGAATAATAAAAAAACATTGAAAGTAATGTAATTTTAAAAGATGTGATATTTAATAAATATGTGGAAAAACCCCCCAACTCTGAATATCTTTCTCAATTTTTGAGAAAAAAATTAGGTAGTAATCTTTGAGTATATTTATGTTTAAATGATAACAATTAAACACTTATGTTTCCAAAATCACCAGAAAAACTTCTGTGTATTCATCAACAATTTGAAGACATCGTATGCTGCACATGGGCAATAATTTTTCGGTTACATATTATTTGATGGGGTGTGCAACTTTATTTGCAAATAAAGTGCAAATAAAGTGAGGAGCTGGTTTGGATGAGTTGAAGAGATCTCACAGATCCTAAATTCAACATCCATACAAAATCTAACCAGTATTTAACGGTGCAGCAGTCAGATGGAGGTTCTTCGTTTTCCTTGAGTTCTGATCTAAACCTCAAAGGTTTGGGCCCGATTTGGGTTTTCTTTTTCATCTTTGTTTCAATTTTGTTTTTTATTCAACAATTAAAATTTCAAAACAAAAATACATAAAACTAAATGCTGTACCGGAAAGCTGTTGTCTTTTTGCTCTTTTCAATGTGGCCTTTGCCAGAAGTGGAAAAGCTGTACGTCCCCACAAGATGGCAGTAGACCACTGAATACTGGCAACAGGCTTTTCTCACTGGAAAAATGTGAAAAATGGAACCTAGAAACAATCTAACAACAGGAGAAATTGTTTTACTGTCTCTTTCTCGCTTTCTCAAAATGAAACACAAAGGCATTTGTGCAAAAGTTGGAGTTTTTAATGCTTGAATACTGAATTCTGCAGGAACGTTTGAATGAGGAACGTTCCTTCAGAACAACCAGCTGCGGTTTGCCTTCCTCAATCTGGATGGTGGTTCCTGTCCTGGTGCTACGGTCTGAATGTCTGGAGTCTAGACAATAATTTCAGAGTTGACAGAAAACAAAAACTGTTTCTTTTCATTTTTTCAATGTAGCCTTTGCCAAAAAGGCCTCATTGAGTGATTTTGTGTGGGCCCTGGCCAAAATTCAACAAAATTCAACAGACAGGAGGAGCTGATTGGTCAGATTACCATCTTGTGTTTTACAGCTTCAATTTATTTGGAGTTTGAATATTAGAGCCAGGTTACCATTCATTTACATATTAGTACCCAATATTAGTAGTGGGGTAATAATAATGCCCCATTACAGATGTTTGATGCCGATGTACGGTCGTTAAAACGTTTAAAACATCTTTCAATTTGAGATTTTATGAGAAATGTTAAGTACAGTACAAATTATTTCTCATAAAAATCAAGTCTTTTATCAGTTTCACATTAAATAAAACCACAAATGGCGAGGAGATTTTCCTCAGGCAAACTTGGCAACACCCATTCATTAAACTCAGCAAGACTTTTCAAAGAAAGTAAACAAGCTAAAAAAAATTTTCTGGGAAACAATTATTCCACATCTTAGGAAATCATATTTCTGGCAAAAATGCCGCACCCTTTCAATATTTCTGATGTAAAATGATCTACAGATTTCTTTAGATCATTATACATCTAACTACTTTGCATGTTAAGTTTGATTTAGATGGGAAAAGAATCTAAGTAAAAATGTTTGTGTTTTTAATGAAACAATTTTTTCAAATGCTTTCCATTTGAAAGCCTGAGTTGTAGAAACTGTACAATTCATCTATAAGAGGAAAGAACTGAGATTACACAGAGCAGTTGCTCCTTCAATCACTCTCTGTAGGAAAGCAACAAGGTCAGTTCTTGAAGCTACATTATCTGAATGTCTGTTTCAAGAAGTTAAACGTATCAATTTAAAGTTTGTAGTTTGATCCTTTAAAGACGGTCGTTAAATTCAACCTTTGCAATAAAAAAAAGCATATTATACTCAAACATATACGCAAGGATAGATAATTTTTTTTACCCTGATTTTAATTGTGGTTGTTGTTGGGACAACAGCGCCATCAACTGGTTGATTTTCAAATTACATGCAGGTATTCACAGAGATTAGAAAAGCAACAGAAAAGCCAAATACGTCACCACGGTTGTATTACAATGTAATGTTACATTGTTGTAACTTATAAGTGTGTCAGGTAGTCTGCTGTGTATTTTCAAAAAATGTGTAAACTGGTGGAGAAAGTTGACCCAGAACAGAAAAAGTTGTTGAATAATCTCGTTGTTCCCCATAAGCACCTCTTCCTATAGACCAGCAGATGGGTCATGCTGGAAGTCTCTGATAATTAAATGAGCTCAGGTCTTGCAGGGTTTCTTAAGCAACACTAAAGTGCTGTGGACAGATAAAAAACATGAACAATGCTTTAAGCAACAAAGACATGAGAAATGAT